AAATGGGCCTAAATATGTAGGGAACTCCACGCATGCTCGTCCAGCAGAAACAGAAGAAGGGTTTGCACATGCCCCACCAGTGGGCAAAGGGGCTCAGAGAATGCTGGGGCCAGGCTGTTTCCTTCCCACAGAGGTTGGGGAGCTCCCTCCTCCACTCTGGCTCACCTCTGGGTTCCCAAGGCCCCTTGCTCTCTCCCTCCCTCTGAGAGAATAGACTAAACACCACTGAGACCACAGGAATCACCATGAAAGACAAACTGCCCTCAGTAATATGAGGGGCTCTGCTCAGGAATGTGCTGAGACACCTGGGAAAGCTGCTTTGGATTATTGCAGTATAGACACATGGAATCTCCAATCTGAAGTTTCCTTCTCCTGTCCCTAGATGGGAAAGCAGACCAGGGAAATTTCTAGAAGAATGCAACTGCATAGGAAGAACTCAGCATTGCACGAGGACCATCAGGAGAGAAGACCAACTTCACTCACTCTCTTGGGTGGCCTTTTCATCTTTCTTAGGCCAAAATGAGGACTTCTCCATCCACTCAGAGAGGACCAACTCTAGCCATAGTAAAATCAAGACACCTTCAGGCAAACCCAAAAGCCAATGCACTTCTTCACTACAATGTCTTTCTCCAGCCAGCTCAGCTCTGAAGTGCCCTAATGAGTATGGTGTGTGACCCAACAATTGGAGCTGCCCACTGCACAGGGCCTGTCTTGAGTGGCCAGAATACCTAATACCCCACCTGAAATTCCAGATGCCTGGACTCAGCACAAAATGACCTTTGCTAAATTTGGTTCCAGGAATCCCACTTTTCTAAGAGTTCTTTTCTAGGATCACATTTGTCTGTTCCTAAATGACTTCCTTTCCAGATCATTATCTTTGTATTCTTTCTAATTATCTTTAGATAATATTTGATAAGGACAAAAGAATAAGTATTACCCATATAAGTTAAGTTGACACCTCTCAGTTCTCCACACAACTCAAAAGTTAGATCATCACCAGGAACTTGTATCCATCTACTCCATTCCCAAAGGAGTCAAATCTTCAAATTTTCATGCATCATTCCTTTATGTTTTGTGCACCATGTTTACATATAGGAATGAATTATAGAACTAGAGTTATGTTACGTGTGGGTCTCTATAGACTTGCTTCTTTCACTCAATGGTGTGTTTCCAAGACATGACCATGTTGTTCCAAATGGCACTTATTCATTTTAGTTGCTGAATGTTTCTTTGTATAAATGCATCCTAATTTACATACCTACTCACTATCTACAGTTCTTTGAGTTGTGATTTGTGTGTTGTACTTCTACAAAAATGTCCGTGTGCAATTACAAAGGGCTGTCTGGGTTCCACACCTAGGAGCACCATTGATGGGTCAGTGTATATTCAAATGTTTGATTTCACAAGATAATATCTAATTGTGTTCCCACATGTACTATTTGAGTGTGTAGTTACCTCTATATTGGTCCAATTATCATTCCCCAAACTTGAAGAGCGGGGCTTATCCATCTCTGCCCATGTCTAATGCCTGCAGTATGCCTTCCTGCCATGTGGCTTGTGTTGGTCCATGGAACACGAGCAAAAGCAACACATACTTTAGCTAAGCAGAAACTTTAGGAGACATTTCAAGGTTCAACCCTTACTCTTTTGCTCTGCCATGAGAATATCATGTCCCAGGTGGGAACTGTTCCACCAGGCTGGATCCTAGGATAAACAAACAGAGCAACATAAATAACAAAAGATAAGAATGAGAAATAAATCTTTGTTGTCATAAGCCATTGAGTCTGGGGGCTGTTTATTACTCCATCATTATACAGCAAACTCTGACATTCCAGATCTTTGACTAATATATATGGAGCATCTCCCACATACCGGCCACCAGATCAGTTCTGTGAAACAAGGCTGTCCAAGACAGACCAGGTTCACGGCTATACAAAATACACCCTGAATGATCAGCAGGTCCCAAAGGTTCTGGAAACTTTGTAGTATAATCCCCAGAGACAAACCCATCAGTTGGGGCCCTTTCTGTTGGAAGTGAAAGGCTTACTAAAGAAACACAGGAATTTACTGATTGTCATAAACGGAAAGTCCAGGGACTAAGCTTGAAGCAGAGACAGATCCAGGAGACCCTGTTCCTAAATGAACAGGGTCCATCCTCTCTATCTCTCAGCTCAGTTTTATTCTGTCTGTCCCATCCTCAGACAGCCACTCCTCTCACAGGGCAAAACGGCCACCACCAGCAGATCCAGGCTATCCCTTTGTAATTCTAAGACCATCAACTTCTATAAGAGTCCTGAACCAGACTCCCAGAGCCACATTGGGTCACAAGCCTGTCTCTAAACAATCAAAGTCCAATGAGATGCTATATATCGAGGGGCCCTGTCTTGGATCTTGAGCCATCCCCAGAGTTCGTGACAAAGTCACCCTACACAAACCCTGTGGATTGAGAATAGAATAGGTGCAGGTACCTACTCAGGAAAGGCCAGGGCTCCATACCAGAAGGGAGGGCAGGTGCTGAACAGGCAAGCCACAAATTCCAAGCAGCAACCTCACATCCCTCACCAATGGTACCCTAGCGCCAACACGTACTGTCTCAGGGGTGATGAGTTCACACATTTCTTCCAAACTCCACATTCAGGGACATCTGGTACCATGAAATCAGCCATCATGGGAGTATTTACACTGTGGAAATAGGCAAGCACTGCAAATCAGGGCTTTCATCTTCCCTGAGAACAAGTTGCTACACATTCCCAGCACAACACGGCCCCTTTGCCCAAGTGTCCTGTTGGTTATAGCTACAGCTCTGCCTCACATAACAGCGTCACCGGGCAAGTCCCCGATTCCTCCTGGACTTGATTTTTTCAGCCCTTAAGTGGGAAAGATGGGCTCACTGCTTTTGAAGTTATATTCCATCTCGGACAGTTAGAGACCCTAAAAAGGATGTGTGTACGCGGGTGCACATACATACACACATGCGCAAGTTTAAATTTTGCTTTCCCTGCATCAGAAATCATAAATGCAGGGACTGGCTATAAACTCCAATACGATTTGGTGAGCTGTACCTCTTCACTTGGGCTATTAAATCATTTTCCCTCCAAAGGTACACATGTTGTGGCATAAGGAGCAAACTGTTGACAGATGGTGGAGAAACTTCACAGGCCCATAATTGAGACTTATTTTCATACATTCGTGCCAGTTTGAAATCTAATTGCCAATAAAACAATACTGTGATACTGCCACATCTAATACCTCCGCCACTCTCCAAAGTTACACTTGAATCCACTAGTAAATTCTAATCTCCCAGAGAAAAATATTTCCCCCTCTCTGTCGGAAAAGCAGCGCTATAAATCCACATACAGTGGTTCATTTTCAAATGTGAACCTCCTTTCCCAGGTCCCCAAAGAGCCCTTACTGGGCTAATGTTAGTGCCTGCCTGAGAGCAGTAGATATTCTCTGTTTACTTGACAGAAGCACAGATGTGGCGTGGCAAGCCTGGGATGGGGTCTTTTGCAGAGAGATGCACAAGGTTCCTTTGGGCCAAGGTACCCTCTTTCCCTCCCTCCTGTCCCCATACTCTGCTTTCGTGATATTTTGTCCCAATAATGGGAAGAGACCCAGCACCGCCCACTGAGGGAGGATGGTAAGAGGAGCCCCTCCCCGCCCCTCCCTGCTTCTCTGTTTTCACTCTCTTGATGAAAAGGTTTGAGGATTGATCGATCCAGATCAATTTGAAGCTGTAAATAAAAAAACGAGCTTTCAGTGGGATGAAGCAGTGCAGGGGCTGTGTTCGTTTGTGTGGATTGAAAAATGTGACCTGTCACCTCGAACCACAACCCTGCTAAAAGCACTAATAGCCATCCTTCCCAAGTCAGAGTCTTGCCCAGTTGACAAAGAAATAGTTATGGAGGGTGGAATCTGTGCCAAGCTACCTTTGCTGCAGCAAAGACAGCAGACACAGTCCTTGCCTATGTCACCTTTACGTTAGCCCTGGATGCTAAGGTTTTATTTTCCCGTTTCACAGATAGCAAGCTGAGGCTCAGAGAGGTTAATTCATTCTTTCTTCAGGGTGCTCTGTGATTTACAGAAGTGAGATTTGGACTTGGATTTTCTGATTTACCTCCAAATCCAGTCCTTTTGTTACAAGGATTGCAATGTGACTACGGGAGCTTTGTAAAGTTCTGTTTCTGGTCCCAGCTCTCCCACTCAGCACCACAGCTTCCCAACCTTCCACACAACGGGTCTTGAAATACTTGAATACAGTTATCATAGCTTCCTGGAGGCTTCCCGTGTCCATGCAAAATATAATCATTGACTTCAGACATTCCCAAAGTCTTGGCTTGAATTCTAGACCAGGACTTCTCAAACCTAAGCAAAAACAGGGATCGTTTGAGGAACTTCCTGAAATACAAATTTTGACTCAGGAGGTCTGGTGTAGCATTCCTAATCAGCTCCCAGGGGATACAGATGCTGCTGGTCCGTGGGCCACACTTTGAGTAGCAAGGACATAGACCTGAACTATTCAACATTGGTAGCCACTTGCTATAAACATGCCTACTGAGCACTTGAAGTGATGTTAGTCTCACCAAGAAACCAATTTTGAATTGGGTTGAATTTTAATTATTTAAATTTTTTTAAAAACAGAGCAGTATGAGATATTTTCCCTCTAAAAACAACTTATTGTTTTGGTAGGGCTATATTTCATTTTAACCATTGAAAATTTAACATGTGAATTGAGATGCACCAGAAGTGTAGAATATACACTAAATTTGAAAGACTTAGTAAAATTCTGGTCACAGAGGCAGGTTGGATAATGAGAACAAAAATACAGTTACCTAGAAGGCTTTAGGTTGAACATGCTATAGCACAGTAGGGCAACTATAACTCTCAGGAAATTATTTTATAAAGAACTTTAAAAAGGAGTTAGAAGTTTCCTAACACAAAGAAATAGTAAATATTTAAGGAGATGGGAATGCTAATTACCCTAAATTGATCATTGCGCACTGTGAACATGTCTCAAATTATCACACTGTACCACATAAGTATGTACAATTATGATATGTCAATTTAAAAAGCAGCCCTAGTACTTAGAGAAAAAAGAATGTAATATCTCAATAATAATGTGTTTATGTGGATTACATGCTAAAATTATAGTGTTATCCAAAGTATTTTATTGGCTGCTTGAACATTTTAAGTTATGTAGGCATTGTGATACTATGAAATAGGTATTTGATCTTGGCCTACAACTCCCCAAATTCCTGTTATCTCAAAGTGGTAAGTGTCCTTTTGTAGGTTATACAGTTGACTACTGGCTGGCAGCCTGTAGGTAGCATCGGGATTGGGCTGGTCCCCTGAAACAGAAAGTCAGGATTAAAGGGTTAGGATCTTCAGCCTTATTCCCCAAGCTCCAGGGAAGTTCAAGTTGACCACCAATGGACAATGATTTAATTAATCATACCTATATAGTGAAACCTCCCTAAAAACCCAAAAGGACAGTGTTCAGAGAGCTCTGGACAGCCAAACACAGGAAGGGTCCTGGAAGGTGGGGCACCCAGAGAGAGCGTGGAAGCTGCATGCTCCTTCCCCGATGCCTTGCCCTCTCCACCTGTCTCTGTCCATTTTCTGTTTTCATGCAAAATACTTGAGGCTGGGTACTTTATAAAGAAAAGAGATTTATTTAGCTCACAGTTTTCAAGATTGAGAGTCCAAATAGCATGCCACAGGGCCTGGGAATGGCCCCTCTGGCTATATCACATCATGGTAAATAACATCATGGCAGGAGACAAGAAGCAGGAAAATACACACACACACACACACACACACACTCACACTTGCACATGCTGGTCTCTCTCCATCTTCTAATAAAGCCACCAGGATTCCATCATGGGGGACTCACCCTGCTCACCTTACCTAATCCTGGTCACTTTCCAAGGGCCCCACCTCTAAACCATATAGTCGGATTGTTTCCACCTTTCTGATACCCCACAGGGGATTAAGTTGGAATCTAAGTTTCTGAGAGGGTCAATCCATATTCGAGCCATCGTACCCTCTCTTCATCTGGGTTCATCAGTAGCCTTTGTAATCCCCTTTATAATAAACCAAAAGTAAGTAAGTGTTCCCCTGAGTTCCCTGAGCCACTGCAGCCAATGAGTTGGACCTGAGGAAGAGGTATGAGAATTCTGTAGGTCAGAAGCACAGGTAAAACAACCTGGGGTTCACAACTGCCATCTGAAGGGGTCTTCTTGGGGAATGAACCCTTGACCACTGGGATCTGACACTATCTCCAGTCAGAATTGCATTGAATTAGAGGACACCCAGCTGGTGTCCACTGCAGAATTAACTGCTTGCTTAGTGTGTGGGGGAAAAAATACCCACACATCCAGTCACAGAAATCTTTGGGTTTGACTGTTGAGTGCGAGTATATGAGAAACTGAGTTCGGTTTGCCCACATTCTCAGATGTATGTATGTATCTGGCTTGTGTTATATTTCTCTCGAGCAACCAGGGTCTAGATTCCTCAAAAGCCTGATCACCAGCTCTGGTTTATCCATACCCAACAGACATGTCGTCTGAACTACACTCAGATTGGTATAACCTGAGGTTGTATCACATCACACCAAACCCTATGTCTTTCTGGATGACCTGGTGTCCAACCAAGTCTCCCCTAGATGGCCTAGATTTCAAAAACATTTTCACTCAGAACACGTT